TACTGCTATTCTAAATGATTTGTTGGATCTGATTTTGAAACTGCCTATTTGTCCAGTCTATATTGATTCATGGTACTGGATGGATGATCCCCAGGGTTTTTATTCTGTTAAAAGTGGTTATAGACGTGCTGTGAGGAGTTTTAACCCCCGATTGTTGTTGGTTTTAATGGGTGGATTAAGTTATGGAAGCTCAAGGCACCCCCGAGATGAAAAACTTTTTTTGTAGAGAGCTGTAACAAATACCCTACCCACCACTACCAATTTATTACAAAAAAGAATTGAAATTGAATCGGCATGTCCCGTGTGTGCTTTGCATGAGGAAGATGTGCTACATGCGCTAGTCTGTTGTGACTTGGCGAATCAGGTTTGGCGTGAGTCTGAACTAGTGATTTCAAATGCTACATGTATCCGTTTTGTTGAGTGGTTGGACCGCCTTCTTCACGCATTTGACGGGGAGGGCAGTATTAAGGTGGCTGGAATTCTTTACCACCTTTGGAATGCTAGAAATTCAGCTGTTTGGAGGAGTTGTGTGCCACGTCCTTTGTCTATTCGCAGGGATGCTATCTCGGCAGTATCTAGCTAGAAGATTGCATTACATCCTGCCACAATACCAGCCATATATGCAGCCTGGGAAATGGCGTTGTTTTGTAGATGCATCATGGGATAGCGGCACGGGTAAAGCATCGATGGGTGCTGTGTTAGTTTCTCTGGATGGGGACTTCGTAGCTGCGACGTCTGGCCTGCTCCCTGCTTGTGGATCGGCTCTTATGGCGGAGACCATCGCGTGTATAGAGGCCCTTTCTTGGCTAAAACAGAGGTGGGAGATGACAGTTGCCATTCATAGGGATTGTGCTGTTCTTCGTACCAATCTGCTGGCCTCTACCGAAATCTTTTCTATATTGGTATAGCTACTAAGGATTGCACTGATTTGCTGAATGCTTTTGATTTTTGCCCTATTATTTATGTTCCTAGAATTGCGAATATTGTTGCTCATACTTTAGCTACATCTTGTAATTCCATGCTGTAGGAAGACACTTTGTTTTGACATTTAGTCCTCCCTGACTCCATTCTAGAGTTGTTGCTTTAATATATTCTGATCGTTTTCCTTTCAAAAAAAAGTAGGATATTAACTTTTCCTTTATCTAGTAACTCTTAGACAATGAACTTTGCATAATATAGCCTAAGACCTTCCTAAGCAAATAAGCAACCTCAAGCATCAACAGAGCTGAATATTCCTGTTGTATTGCCCACGATTGGATGGGCCTAGAAATCAATTAAAGCAAAGAAGTATTATTAGCAATTAGTATGATAAATGGACAATCGTTATATCATATCATGCACCCGGGCACACAATGCATTGTACGCTCTGACCCAAAACGTCGTCGTTTTATAAGTTTAATGGGGAGTTGACGCGACGAACACCATTCCGTATGTCCAATCCCGTTTCGTCGTTTTTATGTGTATTCTGTTAAGAGTTTATGTCTATTCTGTTAAGAGTTTCTATGTATTATGTTAAACTCTTTTTTTTTTTTTTAACACTTGTGTTTTATGTGTATTCTGTTAAGAGTTTCTGTGTATTATGTTAAGAGTTTATGTGTATTTGTGTATTATGTTAAGAGTTTGTGTATTGGTTCTTTGTGTTTCAGTAGGTTGAGAAAGTATATGAACAGATACTACAATGTAATAGAGCCAGTAGCATTCAAAAAAATATATTATGTTAGATTCTGTTTATTATGTTAGGATTTTATGTGCATTCTACTATATAATTCTGTACATCCGAAATAGGAATTTTTTATTTTTAGAAATTAACAGCAGAAACGGTAAACGACGTCGTTCTGGTCAGGATGCACAATGCATTGTGCGCCCTGGTGCACGATATAATTTGTCATAAATGGAAGGAGTTTAGTGTTTCCTTATTTGGCTTACAACTTTTTTTTTTGAGGAAATAAAACGATAACATTAATAGAGGTCCGCAGACAAAGAACTAACAATGAAAGAGGGAGGGACATCAGTCCAGACCCTACGATCAGACATGGAAAGGGATTCCCGAGCTAACAGGTGGGTAATCCGGTTCGCTGATCGTTTAACAAAGAGATTGAAACATTGTTAAGCGATGAAAGTAAATCTTTAACATCAAGGAAAATAAGATCAAATTGAGAATCAAGACTAGCAAATTTGAGGCCCTGAATGATTTGTAATGCGTCAGTTTCCAGGTGACAATGAGTGATATGGTTCTCCTTCAACCAGCTGAGCGCTTCACGTACTACCATGACTTCAGCTTCCTTAACAGAGTACAGACCCCAACATGGTAGGCTAGCACCTGCCTTGAAAGTTCCATGATCATCGCGCAAGATCCATCCAAAACCCATTCGACCACTTGAAGTATTAACTGCACCATCCACATTAAGCGTTAACCCTCCCCGACTTGGTTTTTTCCATCTGGTGATGAAGGACGATTGTTGAGGCGAAGAAAATTAAACATTTTCAGATTTTCTTGAACCGTTATCCATTCTTAGAGGTGTGTTTTGGCTTTCTCCACAACAGTGTTAGGCGAAAGAGAAACAATGTTCCACACTCTTTCATTTCTGGCATACCAGAGATACCAACTGATCATGAGCAAGAGGCTGCGCTGAAAATTATCAAGTTGTTTGAAGTTGTCACTAAGCCTGTCATCTATGGAATTTGCTACTGGGGATGTAATATTGATAGAGGACAGACTCCAACATTGAGAGGCCATGGGGCAGTGAGCGAAAATGTGCAAGATACTTTCATTGGAATTTAAGCACAGCGGGTAAATGGGATTACAGTTAACTCTCTTGGCTCGAAGAAGATCGGTTGTAGGTAGAGAAGAGGAGCACACTTGCCACATAAAAGATTTCAGTTTCGGTGGGACTCTACATTTCCAAAGAGCTGCACAATCTTTCTTGCAATCAGGTGGCTGCTCTCCAATGAGGGCTCTGTAGCAGCTCTTAACAGTAAACTGACCGCGCTCTTCCCGTATCAAAATGAGCTTGTCTTCCCTGCTAGAAACGGGTAAAGGAATATTAGAGATAAGGCATGCATCACGCTGATTGAAGATCTCCTGAATTTGGCTTACAACTTAGTTCCCTTCAAAGTAGTTATGACTGAAATTAAATGAGGCGGATGAGGTGGAATCATAAATTTTTTGAGTTTCGATTCTAAACTGTAGGGGTGTGCGTAATTCGTATTATATCCGAAATTCGAATTGAATTTTAAATTTTGAGTAAACTGAATAGTTATCGGTTTAGATACTTTAATTTTTGGAATATTCGAATATAAATTCGGTTCGAATATCGAGTGTTAAAATTTTATGTATACTTGACCCAAAACTCGAACTAATCTAAATTTTATTACAAATATAATAATATAAATTATATATTTAGTTCTAAATGTATTTCATAATTAATAATATATAATATATTAATTTTTAAAAGTCTATTAGTTAATTATTAGCATTTTGTCTTTTCTTTTTTGAATACTATCCGGGTATAAAAATATAGAATGGGGTAGGAAAACAACGACTCTATTACTCGGGTGCTAGGCCCAAAACAACATGTACAAAGCCCGAAATGATGGCCCAAATATAAAGAACAAGACCCACGGGGTGGGCTAAAGCTAGCTATGCTTCTGATAGGAATCAAACCTAGGTGGGAGGGTTGAGATAATGAGATCAAGACCGCTAGACCGCAGTGTCTGTCATGTTTATATTGCCCCTTGCTAAGACTCTGGAAGCCCTATTTATAGCGTACCCCCCTTATCCACTTCGTCCGCGTGTCCCACATAATCTTCACCACGCTCACCACTCCCACGTTCCTCGCCGTACGCGCCACACCGGATTTCCATGCCCCCGGCACGCACGCACGCATACAACACCCCGTGCGAAATCACGCCTCGCCCTCGTGCGAGGGCCGCCGACAGCCACACACTGCCGCCCCCGCGCGAGAGGGCACTAGGCCCGCCATCGCCGGTTAGGGCCAGCGCCCTAGCCGACGGTCCTCTCCGGCCGGCGACTGCCATGACTCCCCACCCCTAGTTGCTTTTCCTTTCCATCCATGACCCAACAATGTCAGCCCATCAAGTCCTTAGCACATGCCCAATATCCCCATCACTATTGACTCTATAACAAGGTAGTATATGTTCTAGCCAAGCACCTTGTGCTCATATGGCACCTCTGTAGCTCCCTTTGAGGGAAGGTCACAAGACTGAACCCCGGTATATACTATTGTCTTATTTTTAATTTGATAGTATATGAAAAAATATGAATACAAAAAAAAAACATCATTTTAAAAAAACTCAAAATTGATAAATATAAACTTTTGAGTATATCCAAACTAACCCGAAATAATTTCATCCAAATGGAACATATCCGAATTAAATTTGGTTCAGATATCAGGTGTAAAAAACATCACCCAAAATTTTCGAATATCCAAAATAAAATCCGAGCACACCCGAACCGAATCTAAACTACAATTAGAAGTGCTTGTAAAATTTGATTGTTCAGTATTTCATTTGGTTTCAATTGTACATCTGATGGTTTATAAATATGAATATAATATATCATTATAATAAAGCAACAACTTTAGGTCTAAAATATTTTTCCGCCCACACTAACCGGCGTCGTTTTAAGTTAATAAAAATATCTGTCGAATTCATTGTGTTCACATGACCCTTCAGTTTCCAATGTCCGGCTACTATTTTGGCTTACCAAGGAATATAAATAGACTTCTAATAATGAATGAGTTCTAATGACAAGCTAACCCTAAATCTATATATATATATATATATATATATATATATATATATATACACATACAGATTTTACATCTCTATCTGAGTAAATGCTTCGAAAAATTCAGCTGTTGATTGTACTCTTAGGTCTTGAAACGTCTCCAGCAGCCTTCATAGTTCCAAGACAATATTCAAATTTGAAAATCAAATTTCAGACTCTATATAAACCTCTGTTGATACACATATCCACTCCCAAGTTCACCATATATTCAGTTCGAATAACCTGATAATTAGGAACAAAGAACCCAAAATCTCTGCAAAGAAACCATGCCAAGCAAGTATATTGGTGTTAAAGATATTGGCCCTCTAGATATTGAGAGAGTAATACGATTGAGGTGTTTGAGATGTTATGAAATACCAGAAAATAGAGGCTCTACACAGATAAAGAGTAAAGAATGTTTGGTCTGCGATGAAGAGGTAAACCAATTTTCTTTGTATACTGTTTACTGTTTAAGGTTCAAGTCTTCCTCAGAGATGGCTGTACACAAAATGAGAGGTATAAGAGTATGTTGTGCAAGGGTGTATGAAGTGCCTGAATTAGGGGAGGGGGGCATACCAGCAAGAGTCTAGAGTGTTAATTTGCTTCATGATAATCATGTAATTCTTTTGTTTTTTTACTGCATTGTAAACAGAATCATGTTGGGATATATATACTTCATTCTGCAAAACATAACCATAGAAACACAAACATGGGATAGAAAGACCAGTACCCCCTTCTGATTGCACATTGAACTGCTTCTTCTGATTTTTATTTTTTCTTTAATTTCTGAGATCAAAATATTGGCAGAGTGACATACTTCATTTTGGAAAACAAAATGACAGGAAGACAAACACAGGGAAAACCATTCCATAATCATAGAAGGAATGTTTTTCTGATCTTACCCGATACTGATTTAAATTTTCATGATCTATGATATTTTTTTATCTACTGATTTCACATTTCACATGCAGTCATGTATATACTTTTAACTTTAAAAAAAAAATGTGCAGGGAGCATCTAAAGGTGAAGAAGTTAACAGCCCAGCTACTACACAGCCTACACAAGATGATTTGAGTGATAAGAATGATTCACAGATTGTTCAAAGATCACTCTTGGATGAGTTTTCTCTTCTTCAAAGGGAATCAAGAAGGCAAAAGGGGCAAGTAACAAGAAGGAAAAATGACATGACATTTGTGAAATGACTAAAAGTGACAGTTTGAAGCACTGTGACAGTTTTTTTTTTTTTTTTTTTTTTTTTTTTTTTTTTTTTTAACATTATGTTTTAAAAGACTGTGTTTTATTTTGTTTTATATAATTGGTATTGTGTTATCCTACATGATTGACTTGATTGTTAGCTTATTAGATCTGTGTTACTATTATTCTCTACGGTATTTTGTTTTCTATAATACTTTCAGGATCTTTAGAAGTTGGGGTTTAGGTCTACATTCAAACCTAAAATGGGAGACAGCTGGATTGCATTGAAGACAGAAATGTGGGCTAAGGTGTGTTTTGTTAAATCAAAATATAATCCCAATGTAAAATGCCTAAATTGATAAGGAAATACTTTGTAATAGATTTACAAAGTATGCATTTTTTTTAGACACAAAGTATGCATTTTAATACTTTTATTTTTGGATTACTTTCCTGTCCCTTTTGCAAGTAAAATTTGACTCATCAAAATCAAATCATACCAGACTGGAGGAGTTTTCCTACACACCTATGAACTGGCAGAATCACATAAGCATTTTCCAAGAAGAACATTTTCAAGTTACCTACATCAGTTAATACCTAATGTATTAGTTTAGTGAAATGAAATGATTGTTTAGATACTTCAGACATTCAAGAGAGTTTAGTAATTCATTATGTACTCAATGTTCTAATCATTGGCACTCTAACTAATAATACACATAAATATTCATCACATAATGGTAGCACTCAAAAAATAAATAATTGAGATATAAACTGGAACTTACCTATTGAATAATGGAAGCTGAATCATTAGACTCAGGAAGGGAGCATGTGTATAATTCTTCATCTATCCATGATCTGTATCATCATCATCATTATAAAGAATTCAGTTCAAAATTTTACCTGAATTGCTCCCTAAAGAACAGAAATTACAGATCAACAGACAGTCTATGGAAACTGATTTGCTGTTACCATTCACTGTCTGAACATGGCAACTGTAATTTAAGATCCTTTAGAACAAATACAAATAGAAATATAAGGCATCAGAGTATTATTCTCTTCATATGCCTTGTGAGAATTTAGGAACACAAATGTTAAGGTAATAATTTTCATGTTCAATACAACTAAATATTACATAGGTTAAATGACTAAACTATAAGTCACTTAAACCTTTTTTTTTTTTTCAAATAAATAACTTACAAAATTCAATAAACAGACTAAGATAAAATAGTTGACTAATTCAATCAACCAAAAATAATTCACTAAGTCAATTTAAAGAAGAGAACTGCATATATACCTCATGAAACCTAGAGCAGTATCTCTTATAAATCAATGCCATATAACTTATATGGCTGATGCATTGAACTGAAAAAAAAAATCAGCAAAAATAACTTGTGGCAATAAATTTCAGATCAACTGACAGTACATGGCAACTGTAATCTAAGATCATTTAGATAGAATAAAAATGTAAATATAAGGCATCATATTATTATTCTCTTCATCTGCCTTCTGAGAAATTAGGAACAGAAATGTATAATAATCTTTCAACTGTTCCTAAAAAAATGTATCACTTGATTTGCTCACTAAAGATCAGAAATTACAGATCAACAGATAGTCCATGGCAACTGATTTGTTGTTGCCATTCACTGTTTGAACATGGCAACTGTAATTTAAGATCATTTAGAACAAGTACAAATAGAAATATAAGGCATCAAATAGAAATACTTAAACAAATTTAGTATCGTATTTCAACAAATTAACAGGGTTACTTAAATTGCAAAGAAATATACATGCACGACAAAAAAAAATTACCAGGTCAACTGATTTAATATTTTACCTAAATATTTTATTTCAAATTTTGGGTAATAGAATACTTATCTTCATTTCTTCGTTGCTATCCCTTCGAATTCGTTTTCAACTTTAAAACCTTATGCATTTTTACACATATGTCGTCTGTGTATTTATCTACAAATTACATGAAGAAATGAATTTGGGTTTCTCAGAAAATAGTTAAAATTACTTTTATATATTGTAAAATAAAGAAAAAATTACCTGAAAGTGTAGGATCTTTCATGCGCTGCCATTGAAGACCATATTATCGTAGAGGGGTTTGAATCAGTTCTGTACTGGGTTTAAGAGGTTGAAATGATGGAATTGCAAGCATATTTGTATTATTTTGGATCATGTGTAGCTTGGATTGAGATTTGTTGTGACACCCGTAATTCAAATTCTATTTAGGGATTAATTAAGTAATTATTCCTAATTCAATTGGTAATTTAATTTCTTAAATTCCTGAAAATTCAATAGTCGGGGACTAGTAATTGACTAGTCAACCCAAGTCAAAATGTTGTACCTAAAGCTTTGTGAATAGTTCCCTTGTTCCCATACACTTTTTTTATCTTAGTAAGGACAAAGATGACATTTTCCTTATGATTGTATTCCAAGCTAACCTAGAAGACATCTCTGATTTCTCTCCTAACACTTTGAAATCAAAAGCTCTTCTTTCTCTCTAAAAACCTAGCTAGCTTTCTTTCTAAGCTAAGATTAGGCTTTCCAAGATCTTCAAAGTTTGTCTCCAAGATTCCACCTTTCCTACTCTTGAGCATCTAGAAGGGTAAGATCTATGTTCCTTTTGTGTTTTTAGTGTTTTCTAAGGTATCTTTTCCTAAAGATGAAATCTTTATGATCTTTTGGCGTGTTCTTGAAGTGGGTGTGGAAGGTGAACCTTGTTAGGGGCTTTGAGAAGTGTTACGTGAAGGTTTTTGTCTACAAGAGGTAATCCATGCTCTACAAAATCTATTTTGCTTACCTATATGATGATTTATTGGATTCTACATATGATTTTGCTATGAAATGTGAGTGTTGATGTATTGTCTTGTGAAAATGCATATCTAGAGCTTGTTATTAGGGTTCATGTATGTCATTGCTGGGCTATTCCTTTGATTCAAGTCATTTTGTTGTATTTGGTGAGGTTTGACATGTTTTGGACTTGAATTTGAGCTTGGAGTTGAAAATCTCCGAAGGGATATTTTTGGTACAGGAGTTGTACCCGTGAGCGGAACGGCGGGTAGGCGTCCACCCGCCGCCCCACCCGCGGGGTACGTGGTGTGTGGGGGTGTGTTCCCGCGGGCGGAACCACGGGTGGGGGTCCACCCGTTGCCCCATCCGCGGGTAGGGATGTCAATCAGGCCAGCCCACTCGATTTCGGGCTAGCCCTGTCGGGTTGTCGGTCTAATCGGTTCGGGCTAATCGGTTTATTAATATTTTATTCTCGAGTTCGGTTTGGCCCTAACCCTAAACTTCGGATTGTCGGGCTAATCGGGCGGGTTGAACCATCTGAACTAAAATTAGAAACTGAAAGTGAGTACCCATATTAGAGTAGGAATGACAACGGGGCGGACGGGTCGGAGCGGGGCGGGGGCGAGAAGTATACTCCCTGTCTCCGTCCTCAATGAAAAATTGAAACTAGTCCCTATCTACGTTCCCGCGGAGAATTTGGCGGGGACGAAGAATCCCGTCCTCATCAATTTTTAGTCAAAATATTAGATTAATATTATTTTAAATTTTAAAAAACTAAAAACTTAAGTTTTAATTTAAATTATATATATATATATATATATATATATCTAAAAACATAATAAGCTTCAATCCAGGTTATACCCCTGGTTTATGTCCGTTTTTTCTGTTAAATTTTTTTGTACCTTATGCTATAAAAGTTGTACTACATAATTTTTTGGACAAAAATATCCCTGCAGTTATAACTTCTGTTACCTTTCTACATTATTATTACCATGTACTTGCATACATAATATTATTGCTTACATCCTTCCATGGTAAGTTTGAATTCATTTAGGTTTTAATTAAAATGTCACCATAGTTATATTTAATAATTTATCATTTCTATAATTTTTACCTCAAAAATATTAATATGAATTATACAATTAAAAGGGCTAGCCCGACAACCGATTAGCCCGATACCCGCTAAGGCTAGCCCGAAATTAAAAGGGCTAGCCCGACAACCCGAACTATTGAAAACTATTCTTTATTATAGAAGTGATGTGAAACCTAACATATATGGAATAATTATTATACTTTAAAATAAATAAATAAATAAAATATATATATATATATATATATATATATATATAGGGAAGAGATCAGGTGCGGGAGGGGGATATATATAGGGAAGGGATCAGGTGCGGGAAGGGGATATATATATTATACCGCATGGGAAACCCCTTTCCCGCACCTGATCCCTTCCCTATATATATCCCCCTCCCGCACCTGATCTCTTCCCTATATATATATATATATATATATATATACATATATATATATATATATACACATACATATATATATATATATATATATATATATATATATATATATATATATATATATATATATATATATATATATATATATATATATATATATATATATATATATATATATATTATACTGCACGGGAAACCCCCTTCCTGCACCTGATCCCTTCCCTATATATATCCCCCTCCCGCACCTGATCTCTTCCCTATATATATATAAGATCACTAAATCTTACGAAAAGTACCTCTCAAGTTCTGCAGCCGATGAAATAAATGAAGGTATATATATCTCCTTACTTGTTCTCGCTCTCTGCATATGTATGTGTAAGTGTAAAAATGTTGCACATTTAAACCTCTTAATATTGACTTAGATTAGTTGTCAAAGTAGTTCTGGATTAGTTGTTGGATTAGTCATAACGTCTGGAGTAGTTGACTGGATCAGCGCAAGAAAGTAATCCAGGAGGTATGAAACTTCTTCAAATCTTTTATTCAGTCAAGACCCTATCATGGAGGAGATCTAAATCAATTGAAGCAGCTGAAATCAAGGATGGAAAGAGTGCTTGATTTGTGGATCGAAGGATCCTTTACTACTTATATAAAATGCTACTTTGGTTAGCATTTTGCACACACTCTTTTACATACTTGTGCCCTGAAATTCCTTGGTTATTTATTCCAAATATATT